TTATATTCAACACTTCTGATGCATTGTTTATTCCCTGAAATCCACTTCTTGAACGTTATTCAAATTTTCTTGCACCAAAACCCTTAGATATCTGAAAGTGGTGTTGCACCTCTGTTATGATTGACTATATTGTACACTGAAATATTTCATGTAAAATACCTCTTTTCTTTCATCTTATATCCCTTTTCAAATTCATGAATTTCATGGAAAATCATGCAACATTTTTCATATTTGTGGAAGTATCTGTTAATACATATATTGAAAGTTGCATTAGTCATGTGACTTACAGGCTCACACTTCTCCGAGCAGTTGGCAGTGGTGACCTCCATGGCGTAGAACCCGGTGCTGGGGTCTTTATGTGTGAGGCACTGAACGGTGTAACACAGTTCCCCCTCAAAATATTGCACCATAGACTGGCCCGGGTTCAATATCGTTACGCCCTGAAACAGACACACTTCTGCCTTCTCTACACACACATACACACAGAGACACATAAACAAGCATTTGCATTTCAGTTTCACTGAATAGTGTGGCATTTGGAGTGTGTTAGTGTTTGTACGAGTCTTACTGCAGTGATACAGTGGGCATCCACACGGGCCGCCGGGGTCTGGTTCCTCCACTCTCATTTCACCCTTTAACACAAAGGTCACGGTATAACACTGTGGTTACAGGAGAATTCACTATGGCAACAAAATGCACTATATATACACAGTATTCACACACAGAATACATTTTAAAACACTTACCGCAGTGCAGACAGGAAGTGTAAAGTTGTGACACTGACATTCTAAAAACAACAAATGTTACAAATGAAACTGTAAGTATATTTAAAAAACAATACTTATATGACAATACAATGGTAAAGTGATGGCATTGCATGGGCCTTTGATTCATAAACTACCATTTAAAAGTATGGGGTGGGTAAAATGTTTAAATTTTTTTGCTCACCAAGGCTGCATTTATTTCTCAAAACAGTAATATAGTGAAATATTATTATTGTTTTCTATTGTAATATATTTCAAAATGTAATTTATTCCTGTGATGCAACGCTGAAATTTCAGCATCATTACTCCAGTCTT